TGAATGGAGTGTACTTAATATTTTATTTTTCTATTTTTTATTATTATAATCTACTTATGAATGGAGTGTTATATTGTTTTTAATATTATTAACTTGTTCAACTAATTTTGTTGGAATTTACATGAATTTAATTGCTTAATCTATTTATAAGATACAATTGGTGATAAATTAATAGAAATAAATTTTCTTAAATTATTTTTATGCGTAATTCTTGATACACTTAATATTTAAAACAATTGATGGTACTATAATAAACTTATCAGTTACAGTACAATATGTACAGTCAAACCAAACAAAAAGATATTATTTAAAAACATCAAACAATGCAATCTATCCAAACGTCGTATTTATAAAACAATACGACACAATACAATACGTTACATTATAAAACGATGAGTAACAATGATTGAGGGTTAGTTGTTACTCAAGCTCAAGATCTTGTATTACATAAGAAACTTATCTTTCTGGTCTTCGCTGCTCTATAAGTCTCTTCTATCGTCAACTTCATAAGTCTCTTCCATTAAAAATATAGTTTGACTAAATTTACACGTAATGAACAACTCATAGTTCGAGGAAAAAAAGAAAGAAAACTCATAGGTGCAAGTCTCAAGTTCTGGTTTTCAATTTTCGTTTTAACTAATACACGCAAGTGGATCATGCAGTCAAAACCATTAGATGAACTGATGAACAGACTTTGAGCATGACTCAACACATCTATCTAAAGATAAACTATACGAACTAATATGGATGACAAGGTTAATCGAATTCTCCAATTTTTGGGAGAAATACATGCATGTGCTATATATTTCATACTAGTCATTTTGATCCAAATTTGACTTTAACTAGAAATATAATCTTTTTTTGTAAGGTAAGGACATCATCATGGATGGTCTCTAAATGTATCTATGGACTAGAAATATTTTTTCTAATGAATAAGCCCGCGCAGTCAAATTCAAAATTGCGACCAGACTAGTTTCAAAGGTCAATTCATTACACCAACTTCTTGCAAACAGAAACCTTCCAGTTGTGTTTGGGAAAAGGCAATTGTTTCGATTAAATGTGATATCCTCTGTTCACTAAGTTTTTGTTTCCAGCAACTGGACACAAAATAGATCAGCAAAATAGGCTATTTCTACCATTTCGTTTTCACAAGTCGCCAGGATTCCAATATATCATGGCAAGATCTTGGCTTTCAACAATTAGGCCATCTATGCCCCCAAACGAGAAGCCGTCGTGTAGAAATTTGGCAGCATGTGCATTCGCATCCAATGCCTTCAACTTAAACTACATATGTATTTTGAGATAATTCGTACCTATTGCCACAAAATATAGTGAGTGCGGTGGTGCTTTCTATCCATTTGTTGAAGTTACTGCCTCAACAGCTGGAAATTTTGCATAACTGCTGAAGTTCAAAATCTGCTCAAAGCAAGGAAGTTATTGAGATAAATAAGCCTTGTAACTGTTAGCAGAATCTTATCTTTCTGTTGCTATTTGTTAGGATACAGCTATTAGGGATAATCTGCAGCTGATTTCTTCTTTTCTTTAGAGCTTTTCAGTTATAAATTCTCGTATAATATGGCTTTGATTATTGAATAAAATATGATGAGCAGCATATTCATATCTCACTTATTCCTTTGCTCGTTTCTTGCTTTATATTCCAACAGATTGATATCAGAGCTTGCCATCTTGAGGGACTTGTGAGTAGAGAGTGAACCAAATACCAATTCTTCCACCCAAAGCACATCACAATACATTCTTTAAACTATTATCTTAAATAGTTTATAGAAAATGGATTCTGAATCGAGCTTCTTAACTCCACCAGTCTTCAATGGTGAGAATTTATATCAAGCTTGGGCAGTTAGAATGACAGTTCATCTTGAAGCACTGGATCTCTTGGAAGCAGTAGAAGAGGACTACGAAGTAACTCCTCTTAGAAATAATCCAACAATTAATCAGATAAAAATTCACAAGGAGAAAAAGACAAGGAAAGCCAAAGCCAAAGCATGTCTTTTCTCTACAGTATCACCTTCAATTCTCACCAAAATTATGCAAATGCAGTCTGCAGCAGCAATTTGGGAGTATCTCAAAAAAGAATACAAAGGAAATGAAAGAGTGCAGAATATGCAAGTGATGAATCTAATTTGAGAATTTGAAATGAAGAAAATGAAAGAATCAGAAACTATAAAGGATTATTCAGACCAATTGCTCGACATAGCCAACAAGGTGAGATTGCTTGGTAAGGAATTTAATGATGAAAGAATTGTTCAAAAAATTCTTGTAACACTGCCTGAGAAATATGAAGCCACGATCTCTTCTTTAGAGAATTCCAAAGATCTGTCACGTATCACCTTGGCAGAACTTGTTAAAGCTTTGCAGGCATTGGAGCAAAGGAGAATAATAAGGAAGGAAAGTTCTATCGAAGAAGCTTTTCAAGCTAAATCACAGAACAATGATTCAAACAAAGGCAGGAAAAAGAACAGGAAGCAAAGGCAAAGCAATAACAATAACAATCAGGGAGGAGCTCTTCCATCTTGCCCTCATTGTAAAAAGACAAATCATCCTCAATAAAAATGTTGGTGGAGACTAGATGTCAAGTGCAACAAATGTGGTCAACTAGGCCATGTTGAGAGGGTATGAAAGTCACAACCACAACATGAGGAAGCCAACGTCGCTGCAAATCAACATCAAAAAGAACAATTATTTGTAGCAACTTGTTTTGCTAGCAACAATAGTTCTGAAAGCTGGTTAATTGATAGTGGATGCAAAAATCATATGACCAATGATCAAGAGCTCTTTCGAGAGCTAGATCACTCTGTCATTGGCAAAGTCAGGATTGGAAATAGATAATTACTCGATGCGAAAGGAGAGGAACTGTCGCAATTGAAAGCCTTACAGGTTTGAAACTTATAACTGATGTTCTTTTTGTTCCCGATCTTGATCGAAACCTCTTAAGTGTTGGGCACCTACTTGAAAATGGTTTCAAGTTGTTATTTGAAGATAAAGCATGTCTGATCAAGGATGCTGATAACAAAGAGTTGTTCAAGGTCAAGATGAGAGGCAAAAGCTTTTCCTTGAATCTGCTGGAGGAGGAACAAGCCGCAGTTGTCCAGTTAGCCAATAACTCAGAACTATGGCACAAAAGACTTGGACATTTCCATCATGATGCAATACTTTTCATGAAAGAAAACCTAGCAGAAGGTCTTCCAAGCATTGAGAAAAATCTACCTGCTTGTGAAGCTTGCCAGTATGGAAAACAAACTAGGCTTCCTTTTCGGAAGTCATCTTGGAGGGCAAGACAGAAGCTGCAACTTATTCACATAGATGTAGGTGGACCTCAAAAAACACCATCTTTGAAGGGCAGTAAGTTCTACATTGCCTTTATTGATGATTGCATCAGATATTGTTGGATTTATTTTTAAATTTTAAATCTGAAGTTGCTGGTGTATTTTGGAAATATAGGGCTTTGGTGGAAAATCAGAGTGGCTGTAAAATTCAGATGGTAAGAACAGATAATGGAACTGAGTATACTTCGAAATAGTTTAACAAGTTTTGTGATGAAGCGGGAATTGAGCATCAGCTAACGGCACCATACACTCCTCAACAAAATGGAGTAGTAGAGAGGAAAAATAGGACCTTAATGGAAATGACAAGGTGTTTACTTCATGAAAAAGGGTTACCTAAGCAATTTTGGGTAGAAGCTGCAAATACTACAGTGTTTTTGCTAAACAGATTGCCAACCAAAGCTTTGCAGAAGAAGACTCCCTTTGAGGCTTGGTTTGGTTACAAACCTATGCTAACAAATCTGAAAGTTTTTGGTTGTCTTTGTTTCTCCTATGTACCTCAGGTGAAAAGAGATAACCTAGATAAAAAGGCTGAACCTGGAATTTTTGTAGGATACAGCAGTATCTTAAAAGCTTATAGGATCTGTCAACCTCAAAATGAAAAAGTCGTTGTTAGCAGGGATGTCAAGTTCTTGGAGAATTACACCTGAAACTGGAAAGATGGTGAAAAACAGAAGAATCTAGAGTTTCCAGATGAAGATGTTGATGATATACCTGTCCGAGGCACAAGACCACTTTCTGATATATACCAACGGTGTATTGTTGCTATTTTAGAACCTGTAGGATTTCCAAAAGCTGCCAAGGATGAGAAATGGAGGACTGTAATGCAGGAGGAGCTGAAAATGATAGAAAAGAACAACACATGGGAGCTGGTTGATAGGCCATCACACAAGAAAGCTATTGAAGTCAAGTGGGTTTATAGAACCAAGCTCAACCCTGATGGTTCCGTAAATACAAGGCCAGACTAGTTGTGAAAGGGTATGCGCAAATGTTTGGAAGGGATTTTTTAGAAACTTTCGCTCCTGTTGCTCGCTTGGATACAGTGAGAATGCTACTAGCTTTATCAGCTTTACATGGATGGAAGATCCACCAACTTGATGTGAAATCTGCTTTTCTCAATGGTCACCTTGAAGAAGAAATCTTTGTAGAGCAACCTGAAGGTTTTTCTGTGAAAGGTAAAGAAGACAAGGTATATCTATTAAAGAAGGCATTATATGGGTTGAAGCAAGCTCCTAGAGCTTGGTATAGTAGGATTGATGCTCATCTTCTCAGTTTAGGATTTCAGAAAAGTTTGAGTGAGTCCACACGGTATATCCGGAAGGAAGAAACATATTTAATTATTGTCTCTCTATATGTTGATGATTTATTAGTTACAGGCAGAAGTTCAGACTTAATCAGTCAGTTTAAGACTGAAATGAAGGAGGTCTTTGAGATGACAGACCTTGGTGAGATGTTCTACTTCCTTGGGATGGAAGTTCAGCAAAAACAAAATGAGATTTTTATATGCCAGCATAAATATGCCAAAGAAATACTGAAAAAGTTCAAAATGGAGGATTGCAAGCCTATGACAACTCCTATGAATCAAAAGGAGAAGTTTTGCAAAGAAGATGAGCTGAAAGGATTGATGAAGGACTTTACAGGAGCTTGATAGGTTGCCTGATGTACTTGACTGCAACGAGGCCAGATATTATTCATTATGTGAGTGTACTTTCGAGGTATATGCACCGTGCCAGTGAAATTCATTTTCAAGCAACTAAACGTATTATTAGATATGTCAAAGGTACTATTAATTTTGGCATCATGTTCAAAAGAGCCTTAGAGTTTCAGGTTCATGGATATTCTGATAGCAATTGGGCGGGCTGCTTAGATGATATGAGAAGCACTTCAGGTTATTGTTTCATTTTTGGTTCTGGTGCATTCTCTTGGTGTTCAAAGAAGCAATATGTAGTTGCTCAATCTACAGCTGAAGCAGAGTATGTTGCAGTTGCATCAGCGATGAATCAAGCTTTTTAGGTTAGGAAACTGCTGACAGATTATTACATGGAGCAAAAGAAGAGCACTGGAATCTTTGTTGATAATCAAGCTGCAATTTCTATTGCAAATAATCCTGTGTTCCATGGGAAGACAAAACATTTCAAGATCAAGCTTTATTTTTTAAGAGAAGTGCAGAAGAATGGAGAGGTAGCTGTAGTATATTGCAAAAGCGAATTTCAGATTGCTGATATTTTAACTAAGGCTCTACCTAGATCCAGATTTGAATTTCTTAGAGAAAAACTTGGTGTTGCTGCTCTTGAGTCAAGGAGGAGTGTTGAAGTTACTGCCTCAACAGCTGAAAATTTTGCATAACTGCTGAAGTTCAAAATCTGCTCAAAGCAAGGAAGTTGTTGAGATAAATAAGCCTTGTAACTGTTAGCAGAATCTTATCTTTCTGTTGCTATTTGTTAGGATACAGCTGTTAGGGATAATCTGCAGCTGATTTCTTCTTTTCTTTAGAGCTTTTCAGTTATAAATTCTTGTATAAATATGGCTTTGATTATTGAATAAAATATGATGAGCAGCATATTCATATCTCATTTATTCCTTTGCTCGTTTCTTGCTTTATATTCCAACACCATTGGATTAAATCCTAGTCTGCCGCTGCCCTCACGTGACATTGTCGATGAAGTCTCCTTACTAGACATAACATCTTGTGATCTCATTCAGATAGCCTGTTTGGCCAAGCCTTAATTTATAGCCTGTTTGGCCAAGCTTCTTTTGAGGCAAAAGCACTTTTTTGGGGTCAAAGTACTTTTTTCCTAAAATTAAGGTGTTTGGCCAAGCTTTTAGAAAGAAAAAAAGTGGTTTTTTAAGGAGAAATAGAAACAGAAAAAAGTAGCTTCTCTCCAAAAGTACTTTTTTGAAAATACTTTTGAAAAAAATACACTTAGAAATAATTTCTAAAAGTTTGGCCAAACACTAATTGCTACTCAAAAGTAGTTTTTAAATTAAGTATCCAAACACAAACTGCTTCTCACCAAAAGTATTTTTTTTAAAAAGCACTTTTAAAAAAAACACTTCTTAAAATAAGCTGAATTTGGAAGCTTGCCCAAACAGGCTATTAAGTCCGATCAAGGAATTGTAGGAATAAAAAATATCACCCCAACATAGCTGTTGTGAAGGCAGAGGACCCTACGAAACTCAAAAGGAAAGAAAAAAACAATGTAGGAACTACTTATAAGAATTTCTATCAATATCAAGAATTGCATGGGCCAGAAAAATGCTTCGACAATTTAAGCCGTCGTTTTCATTGGAGCATAAAACTCTGATTCATCAAAATTTAACATTTTCTTCAGGAGAAACGAGGCTTCTAAATTTGGTAGAATAAAAAAAATCAGACAAAACCAAAAATATGGACACCACTTCCAACCATGAACACCACCTAGAAACAGCTCTAAACCAGAAAATGATGCATGATTGTCATTTTGAGTCTGGCCTTTGTAGCATTCAGAAGATGCTATCCAATGTGACTAACAAAAAAAAAAAGACAGTCCGGTGCACTAAGCTCCCGCTATGCGCGACGTCCCGGAAAGGGCCGGACCACAAGGGTCTATTGTACGTAGCCTTACCCTGCATTTTCTGCAAGAGGTTGTTTCCACGGCTCGAACCCGTAACCTCCTGGTCACACGACAGTAACTTTACCAGTTACGCCAAGACTCCCCTTCTCTACTGAAAGAGTATTTGGGCTATTGTAAGCGGCTGCATAAACTACAACTTTACCTACAAGCCATTTTTAGTACACAAATTAATTCTAAGATTTCTGAATTGACCATTCAATCTCTGGGATGCAACTCAACAGCAAATAAATGCAAGTTATTTTCTGGAGACATTCCTAGCTAAAATAACCAAGTTTAAATTGGAAAAATGTACTGAGTAAATTGTAAAAGCAGTCATTCAGATATGTGAAAAGCTCTTAAAAGTTTCCTTAAATAAATTATAATCAGTTTCTGTCAAACAATGTATAATCATATAATCATCTAAACACCTAAAATTAAAGGAGAGAAAAAGATATAACCTACATATTGTATCTATACTATTTCAACAATCAGCAAAAGAACGAACACAATCCTTAACCCAACTATGTTTACAGTTTTCCACCTTCAACCCGAAAAAGCTAAACAACACTATCAGGCATCAGCACATCTTGTTGGTGCAAATCCCAGCCTTGACCTTTTGGTATCATATAACATATGAAAATTCTGCTGTTGATAGTTGCCAATTATCGACATGGCCGAATGAGGAGTTCCTAACATTGCCAAACAAACAATGTCCTCTGGTTCAAGTTTGATGAAGTAGTTCTCTACTGGAAAATTCCATACAGCTCCATCACCAAAAACTATCCCAAATGAAGGCAATTCAAGTTTCTCCACTCCAGAAACATTGTAACATGGTTTCAAAATTGGAAAATCTTCTAAAATAGGATAGTGCTTCACCTTGTTAACAAATGCCTGTTTTATAATCTCATATGCTGGTTCTGCAAAATAGCTCAAAGTGGTTCCTGAATCGATGATCGTTCCACCAACACCTTCTGTAGACAAATTCCATGTCACCTCAGGAATATTCAGCACTTCACCTCCAACTATAACTGATTTTATCTGCACATAATAGAATGTTTCTAAATGATTATCTTTCCCACCAACCAATGAAGTGAAGTTCAAATTCGGGTGTTTCAAGAGTTCCTTATCTTCACCAAAAATCAGTTTGCTGCTGACACTAGAATTGCTGTTCCTATTAACCAAACAATACGAAAACGAATGGCCATATAAAGATTGAAGCTGAGACGAAAACGAAAGAGGACCTCTACCAAGTCCTAGCAAACCAGCAGCACCATGAAATAAGCCTCTATTCCAATATCCACAACCAAACATCACATTTTCTACTTTCTTGATCTCTGAATCCCCACTAGGGGTTGTGAGATTAACCGTGAACGTCTCAAGCGCGAAATCACCAGTCGTATTCGAGCTGTCTCCGTACCAATAGTAATAAGGGCAAGTCTGGTTTTCAGACTTGCAAGGCTGTGGAGGGTCAGGAGATGAAACAAGGTGACACCTCGGATCATGGCAGCTTATATTTTTGAAAGAGAGAGAATCCTTAGGATCATAATGAGGACCATTTTGTTCAAAACAATCATAACAAGGAACAGATTGAATCCAATTAAGATCACTACCAGTATCAAGAATCAAAGAGAAGTGTTTAGGAGGTGTACCAACAAAAACATCCATGAAATACTCCCCTGAACCATGACTCACACCTGACTCTAATGTTGCCATGAGCTTACCTGAGAATTCAAATGAAGAAGATTGTGTAGGTTTTTCACTATTTTTTGTTTGCCTTGAAATAAAGTTCTGATTCTTTTTCTCTACAATCCTTGTATGCAATGTCTGAATTCTACCTAAATCCCTTGTTGTGGACTCAAATATTGAGTCTTTTGCCTCTATATTTTGACCAGCTGATCTGTGCCTTAAGTGAAACTTGACTGCCTCTCTTGGCTGGTTTTCAGATACCATTAAATCTTCATCTTCTTTTTCATCAGAATTATTTTCTTCTTGAATTATTACATGGGTGGTTGCTGATTTCTTGGATGTTCCATAACTGCAGTCTGAATTTCCAGAAGCAGTAACTGAGTTGAAACTTGGATGTTGAGGGAATTCAATACCAGAAGCACTAGAATTCAGATTAATCCCAAAATTGTGAATTTCCCTTGAGGCAACAAAACCAAATGAACATAACCTCAACAACACCACCAAAATAAAAATACTAAACTTTGTCACCATTAGTAGTACTAGTCTGAACTTTTCTCTTTCAGATTATATAAAAAGAACTGTAGCTACAATAGAACCAAGAAAAAACTACATAAAAGAATTCAGCTGCTTGATTTTGATACAGTTTGTTTAAATCAAGAAAGCCAAAAAAATGGAAGAATTGGATAAAAATGTTGTAAAAGTTTAGGAACAAATGGTATTTTGGTAAGAAGAGAAGTTGGGTTTTGTCATGGGACAGACCAAAAGTCAGGAGAATTGGGTTCATGCGTCTTGCTTTGCTTTGCTATAGAATATAGAGCTTTTAAAAGGAGTTTCTTGGAGTTTGATTCTTGAAAAACGACTTTCAACGCTGGCTTTTCAATTGGCCAGTTTCCCCTTACGCGGTTTCTTTCGTTGCTCGAGTAATTTTAAAATAAAAAATAAATTCGTTTAAACTAGCAGTACTTCTAATTACTCCTTTTGTCTAAAAAATTGACACTATTTTTTATTGATCCCTTCAAAAAAAGAATGATAGTAGTATATTTCTTTTTAAAAAATTTGGAGAAAGTTTAACTTGAGCTTTCTATTTTACCTTTAATCACAAGTTTTTATAGCCGCATAAATATTATTCTTCGGTTCATAATAACTAATTTTTCTATCCTTATAAATTTGGTCTAGAATAAAAAGACATCTCGGTGTACTAAGCTCCCACTATTCGCAGGGTCCGGGGAAGAGTCAAATATATTATTTTTAAAAAATTAAGAAGGTATCAGATATATTATTTTCTAAAATTTACTCGTCTAGTAAATGATGTGAATAAATTTCTAAAAAACAAAAAATTCAATACTCCTTAATTAATGTTGAGGAAATTTACCCAAATAATCCTCTTAATTAGTATCTACGTAATTTTCTTGATGGTTGTACCAAAACCTTAAAAATTAGTTGTTGTGGATTAGAGGGAGTATATCATATTTAAAATTTAAAGTTTAAAAGTCCTTATTTATTTATTTATTAAACTAGTCAAATTATGTCAAGCAAAAGGAATATATTTCCACCTTACAAAAAAGAAAAGAACTAATTTATAAAACTTCTTAGTAGAGGGTTGGATTAATTGACGAGACACCTCACTTTGGGCTTATCATTCTCATGGTTTAAGGTTTAAGGTTCAAAATATATGGTTTAAAGTTCAGGGTTCAGATTTTAGAGTTCAAGGTTCATAGTTCATAGTTTGACTCATATTTTATCGTACCTGATATGTTTTTTTTTTTTTTTTTTTAGGGGGGGGGTAGGGGGGGTTTTGGGGGGGGGGTGGGGGGGTACTAAGTTTAGTTAGTTTTAAATTTTATTTAACTTTAA